CACAACTCATTAATTATTCATTACTTTCTTTCGCTAGTTTAATTGATGCTTTAATTAATGTTTCCAGTTCATCATTAGCTCATACCAGGCCTGGGGTAATAGTAATATGTAATAGTAATTGTAATAGTAACGATTACAGGGCACCAGGTAATAGTAATAGTAATAGTAATAGAATCTTTGGCAACAGGAAGTAATAGTAATAGTAATAGTAATAATGGTCAAAGTAATATGTAATCTCAATATTACATAGCTATTACTTGCAGTGTTATACTAATAAGTAACAATAGGAAAATAGCACGTTCGCCAGTAACTATTGCTCAGTACTGAGACTTTTTATCATAAATATAACAAAGCATTCTTAATTAGAAACTATAAAATGGCTTAGATTAACTTCAAAATTAGATTATTTTTATCAATGACCTATAAAAATCTATGGCGTATTGTAATAGTAATATACTTTGTTGTAATAGTAATAGTAATAGATTACTTTGAAAAAAGGCTGTAATAGTAATAGTAATATAATAGTTAAAATTTTCAAGTAATAGTAATAGTAATAGATTACATTTAATTGTAATTGACCCCAGGCCTGGCTCATACTGGTACCACCCACTTGGGACGTCCCAACTGCTCATCAAGACTAGCCAGTAACTTCAACGGGAAATACTCAGACAACAAAATCTACTATAAATGATATTCTTATTAATGCACATCAATCCACCCACACATTTAATTATTAATTGATACATGTACATACCTTTAACTTGTCCTGTATTACTGTCTCCTCCTCCTCTTGTTTGTTTACTTGTTTGTTGTTTATTGTTGTTGTTGGTACTTCTCCAGAGGAGGTGGGGGTGTGTCTCCATTAATATCTCCTCCTTTGTCATCCAGTGAAGTATTCCATTGAGTATCAACAGACATTATGTATTAACTAATATGGAATAATGATCCTCCTCCTCCTACTGTAGAGAGAGAGAGGACAATATTATTCTCCTTACCAGAAGGAGGGAGAAATGTAAAATGTGTCCAATACATGTACATTATTATTAGTAATAGACTCTGTAATACAATCAAAGATAAAAAAGGAAGGCCTTACCCTCCAAAGGACAGTAAAGGAGAGAGGGAGGACTGGAGGAGGTTACTAATTATACTCTCATTAACTGCCAATCTGATCCACGACCTCCACTTACCAGATAATCAGTCTGAGCATATTGAAGACTACATCTAAATGAAATTTTAAAAATATAATAAAAATAAAAGTATACATGTACATATACACGCACTACATGTACATGTCAATGTACATGTAACAACTTTAAAGTGAATTTTCTAATTATACATGTACATTAGTATGTGTACATGAACAAGTATACATAATGTAACAATCATCAGTAACTTTCAATAGTAACACACATTACTAATTACATGTATACATACCATACCAAACAATAAATTCAATTTCTTGTTTTCATGATAATATTTCCAATACAATAGGCCAGAACGTTATATCCTTCCCAGTGAGGAGCCATCCAGCTTTAGTTTAGTCCCTGACAAAGAATATCTTCAAACCTTGCACACAACCTTTGAACTGCTCCATAGTCTTTAATCATCTCACCTTCTGTATGTGT